CGGGGTCCTGCACCGTCGGCAGTGGGATGCTCCAAGCGGCTCGGCGGGTCCCGTGCGCTTTGGGAGGGTCGGAGGAGCCTGGCAGGGGCTGGTACACGCTGACTCGGGCTCTCCCCACAGGCAGGGCTGGCATCGGGGACGCCAAACTCATTGCCGCCTGTGTTGCCGTCACGTTTCGTTTCATTCAAAGGGACTCGAAACGCCATGTTCAGGTCATTAAAGAGACATTTTCAGCTGGCTGGGGACCCTTCTTCCATCCTCTGATGCTGAGCTCGGGGCTGCCCTTTGCATCGTGGGGATATTCGTGGTCCTGTGCACCCTCTCTCCGTCCGTGTCCCGTTACTGCTGAGACCCGGCACAGGCTCATCCCACCAGCGGCAGAGAGGCAAAGGAAAATGGCAACTCATTAAACTGCGCTGAGGGATAATTAGGAGCCGTCAGACTGCGCTGAGGCTGGAGCCGAGCACTGGAGGCTGAGTTCCTGCCCCCTGCTCGGGATTTGGGGTGCTGGGCACTGATGGCCGTGGGTTCGGGTGAGTGATGCTGCAAACGGCAGCCTGGTAGGGATGCCCTGCTGGGCACAGCAGCACCGGGAAGGTGTGCTGTGGGAAACGAGAAAGGGAAAAATTCCTCCCACCTTCTGAGGGCTGATGGAGCCATAAATCAGGTGTGATAGATGAGCCAGGTTTAATTCTTCTCTTGATGTACGTCTGACACAGCCCTTTCCCTGCCGGGCTGGGGCGCGGGCAGAGGCAGCCGTGACTCAAAGGCAGCCCCGGGCAGGGGAGGAGGTCTTCGGAAGTGGGAACTGAAGCCTCGGGGGCCCCGGGCAGCAGCCAGGGCTTTGCCAGGCATTACCAGCCCCATCCCAGAGCAGCGCCAGGACTAGACAAAGGCGCCCGTGGCAGGCTGTCCCAGGGAGATGCCAACGCTCAGCCCCTCTTCCCAGCTGGTTTGGCATCGCCTGCCTCCATGAACGACTCCCCAAGAAGCTGCTCTAGAGCTACATAATTTTTTTTTCCTATTTCAAAGCAGCTGTTGGAGTTGCTGTCAGCCAGCACGCAGCCGAGTCTGGTAACAGTGGGATGATGGCAAGGGCTGCTCGGGGACAACCAGCCCTGCCCCAGGGACGGCTGCAAAGCCACGTGCTGGCCACGTGTATTTCAGGCTCAAAAGCATTGGCAATGTCTGTCTGTCCATCCATCTGTCCATCAATCCATACACCCATCTGTCTGGGGTTAAATCCAGCCAGTCCCCCATCCCCCCAGCCTGGCTGCCATCACACACTGGTGCCACCGCTTTAATTCCCTTTACTTATTTATCATCGCAATTGTCTCTTAATTGCTTTGGCAGCCCCTCCAAGCCTCCTGGTGAGGGAGGGAGGTGCTGGTGTATAAATAAAGGCCATAAATAAATAAACCCAGTTGACAGCGAGGGGATCCAGCCAGGCTGCCCCAGGAGACGGCACCCATTTGCCCCAAGCAGCTCTCCCCATATGTGCCCCAGATGGCCCTGCAAGTGACAGGCTAGTCCCCAGGAAGCTCCAATGTGGCCTTGGGAACTTCCCCCAAATTTTGGCTTTCTGGCCCAAGGAAACCAGCACACACAGCTGCAACCAAACTTGAGCTGGTGTTGGGGATGTGAGAGCAAGAGGGAGCAGAAAAGGGAAAATCAAAAAGGAAATATCAAAAATCCCCAACCCACATTTTAAATTAATTAATGATGTCCCTGGTGACTCAGCAGAGGCCAAATGGATCTGCTTCATGTTTTATTGAAGGATTTTGCTGCAGGAGGCTGAGGACAGTGAGAGACAGGGCAAACGGGGTGCTGAGGGTGCTCCCAGGGGAGGTGGCCCTGGGGTTGGGTGTCAGCATCCAGTGTAGGGCCAAAGCTGTCCTGAGTGCCTCATGTGAATGCCCAGGTCCCCTGCCACCATGGTGGCACTTGCATAATCATCTTTACATGCTAATTGGGATGGAAAAGCACAGGTTTTCTCCCATTTCTGGTGCCAGGCACTAACCTGAGCACTGCTGGAAGAGGAAGTGATTGGGGTGTAAGCAGCCCAGAGCAGGCAGGACCCTCCAGGACCAAGGAGGGCCTGTACTGCTCCTGCAGCATCCCCTTGCCTCTGGGGGCACCTGCAGGGAAGCAGCAGCCTGGAAGCACCTTCTGGCTGGGCTTTCCAAAGAGGGGTTGGGTAGTTTAGTGCTTAACAACCGCTGAGGGATATTATTTCTTTTTGGTGAAATTGTCTAATCAATCACTTTTTAATTCAGCCGGCTCTGGCACCCGGGACGCCCCAGGACACCGTGGCCTGTCTTGCAGAGAGAAATATGGCTGGATCACTGCTGGCCATCCACCTCCAGGGCTCAGCCCCACTGGGGGGGCAGGCAGTGTTCCCCAAACCCACCCCTCACCTCTGTCAGCTCTGAATCCCCATGGCAGGTATTACTTTCACTGCCCCCATTGCTTTGCATCGTGAGACCCATGCTGCTGAGGAGAGGGGGAACAAGGCAGGCCAGCACAGGTCAGCCACCAGGAAGAGGTTCCAATGGTAAGGATGTGCTAGTGCTGCTATGGGGAGACAGTCAGGGCAGGGGGAGCTGGTTAAATCACAAATCAGAACAGATTCAAGGCCAGGAAGGTGCAGGTGCCAGCACAGGGACAGCAGGGCACTGCCTTGTCTGTGTTCAAGGATGCCCGAGAGAGCAGCAGGAGCAGCCACCTCCTGGTTCCTGACTCCTGCCAGGGCAAAGCCATGGCACAAAATCTTCCCTGGCCGAGCCCCTGCAGCAGGTGCCCTTCCCCAGACCATCAACAGCCCCTGGGATCAGGGCCTGCTGCCCAAATCCATCCAAAGGATAACACGGTAAGCACTTTGTCCCTGAACCTTCAAACAGCTGAATCCCCTCAGGGACACATGGCTCCTTGGTGATGGTCAAGCCTTGCCTAAACCTTGTCTAAACCTGCCTCTCAGGCTGGAAGTTTTTCTACTTCTTTCCCTGGCCATTGCTCTTCCAAGTGTTGCAATAGACTGAATCCATCCCCGATGCCAGTTTGGCCTCAGATTTATGGCCCAAGCCCCAAAATCCGCCGCCGCTTGTGAGGTCCTTCGAGAGAATCACAGCAGAAAGTGTTTATTTCCATCATAAAGATCTGCTTTAATATTTTAACATAAATCAAGCTGCGCTTTATGGTGATAATAAATTCGTTGGCAGAAACTGCCTTTGCAGCCCGAGGCGGCGGAGCAATTCAATTTGTTTGGTTTTAAGTGTAAGGAGCCGTAATTGAGAAGGGGAAAGTACAGATGTTTTAATTGAGTTTGCAGCTACCACCCAGAGTTGCAGGAGCCTAATAGAGAGGAAGAGGTGAGGGTCTCCATTAGCCTCTCGGCTTGCCATTTCTCCTTGGCCTGCAGCCCCATCCGTCACGGCCGTCCCCGCCAGGAATAGCTACTCCGTGCCTGCACACGAGGAGGAAGGGGATGGAAAAAGAAGTCAGACTAAACCAGATGTATAATGTGCATTTTATTGGTTTTAATCCCTTTTTTTTTTTTTTTAAAACTAATTACAGTCAGGACAAGCATCACGTGTGAATCTGTAATAATGAATTGTTAGTGCTGATAATGGCCAAATAAAAATAGACTCAATTCGCGATGGGTGAGAGGAGAGAGCTCATGCCCTGCACCCAGGGGTCACACAGCATCCCTCCAGCCAGCGCTGGCTGCACTGAGCCATCCCCTTCCCGCTTTCTCCAGTAATTTTTAAGGCATTGCTATGTCATGTTTTATATGAAAAATGTTCTCTGCCGTAGAGCTTCTTTCCGTTAACCACCCCAATTCCTCGGATATATTTGTTTTGCTGCTGTGCAAGGACGATGGGTGTCTGGGAATTCGTGGTTATTTATTTGAGAAGCACTCATGCTCCTCTGGGGAGCAGAGTCCTTCCCAGTAAGGTACCACAGCAAAGGCTGGGGCCAGGGTGTGAGCCCTCAGTGCGCCACTGCATCCGAAACCTGGATCCAAGCAGCTCCTGGAGGTACAGCCCCTCAGAAGTCACTGTCACACACTGTGTCGAGGGGGACATATGGGCCAGGGAAGAGAAGGCACATCTGTAAATGTAAGAGGTGGCAGGAAAGGGGAGGGGGTGTCAGGCTGGGCGCTCTTCCTCCCCTATCCCAGGCAGGGCCAGCGGGGCAGCCCTGAGAGAGGAGGGGAGGGCGAGAGGAGATGGAATAACGGAGAACAGCCCCGTTCTCTGGGTGCAATGAAATGTGAAGGCTGAAATGGGGATGTGGAGGGCTGGGGCTGAGCCTTGCAAAGCACGGGCAGCCCAGGGCAGAGAGAGCTCTCAGTCCCTTCCATGAACCCACACCTGCACACTCGTGCAGAGGAACAGCCCCCTCAGCCTCTCCAGCTTCCAAAGGCTTATTTCGTCAGCATTAAATTCCTCCCTCCAGCTCTGCCCAGCTCCCAGCTGCCTCGCAGGTGGCTCCCAGCTCAGCTGCCCCATGAATCTACCCTCCAACCTACTGCTTCCTAAATGAGACACCAGCACCAGCTACCTGTAAAATACCTTCCTAATTTGGTACTGAAGATGCCACATCAGCTTCTCAGGAGCTCTTGGGGATGTTTAAACTCACTAGCAAGGGCTGCCAAAGCCTGTTTAGGATCAAGCTGCCGAGAAGACAAACAGTCCCCCCGGATCCTCTCCAGGCAGCTCCACAAGGACACAGTGGCAGTGCTCAGGCTCGAGAGGTGCAGGGTTTTGCTCTAAAAGCCATGAAGTGGTTTTATACAGCTCCAGGTACTTGCATATTCCCCCAGGAGGAGCACTTCAGGTCATATGGAAACCAGAAAGTCCTACTTGAAAACAGAGCTTGATTAAAAAGAGCTGCAGTTCAAAGCTTGCTTTAGTGAGTGGTGACATTTAATACTGCAGCAAGTGCAGAGGGCAGGAGGATCTGACATGCACCTGGCTTTGAACCTGCTTAGATAACAGGGGGTTAAAATATTTCAGGTGAAGACTTTTAATGTTCTTCCATTTGTCAGGAAACCCCATTTGATCTGTGCCCAAGGGCCTCAGAGCACAGGACTTGGTGGTGTTTGTCATTGTGTGGTGTTACAGTGACCACAATTGCCTTAAAAGCAGAGGCTCACCTAGAGCTGCCTAAGGTAAGAGCAGCCCCATTCTCAGAGAAGCAGAGCAGGAGCAGCCCAAAGCCCACCTTAACCCTGTGCAGAAGGAGAAGAGGGGGGATTCAAG